ACTTCCGGGTAGGGTAGTGTTTTTATACTTTAAAAACGAAGCCATTTCGATCAGTTTTTATAATCCTTGGTAGAACTGAGAGGTATTACAATACATATTTAAATTAATACACATGAGTGTATTTGATGAACTCTCAAAAAATAAAACCCACAAAAATATCTTTTTTATTCACAATTTCATGTCATTGTTTCTAACAAGTCACCTCTTTCTCTCTTTTCTTTATTTTTGTCAACAGTCAAAATCGGAATTTAAAACTTGGTTTCTTTACAAGCTCTGCTTCTGTAAATACTAAATAACATGAAAAATGTTAAACCTTACATCCTACATGGGCAGTACAATACATAAGGCAATATGGCGTCTTAGGCCTATACATGAGCCAGAATGCAGAGCTGTCAAGTGTCCCGCGAATGGCGGGATTATCCCGCGAATTTGATCAAAATTAGGCTAATTCGCGTGTCCCGCATTGTCCCGCGAAGTCCCGCAAAATGTGGCTTTGACCTCCGCGAATTTCCGAAATTGTTGCAATCCCCTATATTTTGATTATCTTATCTTATATAAGAAGCTAAGTTTTTGCACTTTTGAGGAGTAAAGTTTACCTAATTTTAAGTACCTAGCATGCTGTTGTTTGGTATCAAAATAAGGGGGAAGGGTTCAACTTTCATTTTAATTACGAAAATAGGGATGTAGGTCACAAATAGTTCCAACGTTGGCCTTTTTACTACCCGTGTGGCCTTCATCTCAGAACTGAGCAAATGTTAGCAAACGCGAGTTACAATAAATGTACGCTGATATCTAGAAAGGGTTTGTATAAAAAACCGGGTACCGGGTAGTAAATCCTCCATGCTGGGTTCAAAATTGGTACCCGGTACCCGGTCAAAAAAACGGGTACCCAAAAAACGAAAAATACGAATATATAACATAATTAGATTATGAGAAAACGTGTAAGATTTGTTTTGAATTTGCAAAAATGTATGTAACATGATTCAAAATTGAGCTAGAAGCTTCAAATAAAAAGCATATTTTAAGGCACATTTCTTCCTCTATCGTTATGGCCATATTTTCATTGGTTATGGGGGGGGTGCGATCGCACCATCGCACCCTCTCCTGGCTACGCCTATGACATTGTAAGACATAACAATTTACAATTCAGTGGACATTTTGTCATAAATTGGGATAACTTAAATTATGATTAATAATCAAAATCTTACACGTTGCATCATGCAAATTAACACACGTCACCTCTCTGCTAAAGCAACGATAGCTATTTACAGATTTAAATCATAATCAAAACAATTCACGTACCAACATACGAACTATTGAAAATAGAGTAAGATTGATTTGTCTTGTTTTTCAAATAGTCTTACAATGTCATTGGTGTAGCCAGGAGGGAGTGCGATCGCACCCCCCCCCCCCCCCTTCCGATTACCAATGGAAATATGACCAAGATGATAGAGGAAGAAAAGAGCCTTAAAATGCTTTTTATTTGAAGCTTCTAGCTCAATTTTGAAGGAAGTTACATACATTTTTGTAAATTCAAAACAAATCTTACACGTTTTCTAATGATCTAATTATGTTGTGTATTCGTATATTTCGTTTTTTGGTTTTTTTCGACCGGGTACCAAGTTTGAACCCAGCATGGAGGATTTACTACCCGGTACCCGGTTTTTTATACAAACCCTATCTAGAAAATTAACCTCATTCCCTATAATTTGATGTAGATTAATCGAACCCCTATATCATGGGGGGGTCAACCCAGTTGTCCGAAACCCAATTCTCCGAAACCCAGTTGTCTGAAACCCAGTTCTCCGAAAATAAGGGGATCTTATCAAAAATACAATTTTTTATAACGAATCTTGTCGCAACCTCTGCGAATCACGACAGCATAACATTTGAATCACGTTGACATGACATCATAGCAAAATTAGGCTAATATGATATGCTAAGTCAAGACGTTGATTAGCCCACGAAAGTTCATGGGTAACTTGAGAACTACAAAATACAACCAAATACTTTTCGAACGTCAATAGCAATATTTCTCACCTAACGTCTTCATAGTTTTAGGAACGTATTTTAAACGCATGATAGCCAAATATATCAAGATACTATATCTGCCTAAATGAAGTTATCTAGTGTTGACAAAATTTTGAAATATATTTTATCCAGATCCATCAGAAATTAACTTATCCAATACATTACTTTACTAGTTCTAGTATCTTGCATGACTCGTTCATAAGAATTCTTTAATTCTACCTCGTTCCCAATACGTCCTCAGACAGACAAGAAATTGAAGTCACACCCGTTTGTTTGCGCCGGGCATATTTATAGCCTACGTATACGCACTTTCTCTGATTATTGTCAAACAAATACATTTCAGGAGAAGAACATAAAAAACAAATGCCTGAAACGAATGCCGAAACATAAATCCCAAGTGATTAAGTTTAGAATGTTTTATTCGTTTACGATTTGATAAGAGACCGCGAGACTAAGAAATAAAATGCGACGAAATATTTTGACAACGTAATTTGTATACTGTTTTATTCTTAAAGTTCTATGCGATAACTTATTTTAATTGTTTCAAAATGTTTCATTTTATTTTGCCTATATAAAAGAGATTGAAGAAGATAAGATAAACTGTTCCGTAATATATATTGTGTTTTAATAACCTTTTTTAGAATCACAATGTAAAATAAATCTCCCGTTCCTGCCATTCTGGTAACGCCATGCAATGGATGCAATTCAAAGTGAGAGGGAGATTTATGAATATCAGAATGCGTCCATGCCATTAATTTGGCCAAATACATGGCATGAAACTGACGTAAGCTTAAGTAAGCTACGCCCCCCCTTTCTCTGGTAAATTATGACTTTATTTTTCGGAGTAATGGGTTTCGGACAACTGGGTTTCGGGGAATTGGGTTTCGGAGAACTGGGTTTCGGATTACCGTAATCTAACACGAAATTCAAAAATTCGGAACAATACTTTGCACTTCTGGCGTCGTGACCAACTATGAAACGCTTACCCCCATAATGTTATATATTAAAATGTACCTATTCATATACTGTAGGCATGGGCTTTCAATTGAAAGCCCATGATAAAGCATGGTTTTTGTTTTTGATAAATTACAATAAAGTTTAATAAATTCCTATGCGTATTTTGTGAAATTGTGTTGACGTTTATTTAAGTTACAATGTAACGGTGCATTTTATTTGATTAATCAGTATCTGAAAGTTTGATTTAAGTACTTCTACACGCTTTTACATTAGTCCCAATCACGCAAATCCCTTGAATGTCCCGGGACATCCTGCAAATTTAGGTGGATGTCCCGCGAAAACCCGCAAATTTAGGGTACTTTGTCTAAAAAATCTGTCCCTCTATGAAGTTTTTGGTGGTACACCTGTTAACTGTCCCGCAATTAGGGTGTTTGTCCCTCGAATTGTCCCGCGAAATCCCGCGAATTTGATAAAAAAAATCTCCTATTAGCGCAATCACGCAAATCCCTTAAATGTCCCGCAAAATCCCGCGAATTTAGTAGATGTCCCGCAAAATCCCGCGAATTTTGGGCACTGGGTCTAAAAAATCTGTCCCGCGAGAAAATCTTTAGGGGTTGACAGTACTGCAGAATGGAGGTCTGCAAGTTGGAATGAATATGTTTGTTTATGCATCAATCGATCACACATATAATCCAGACAATCTTTCAAATCATATACTTAACATTGTAATGGATTTATTTATTTTGTGAGCTAACGTTCCCTTTAATTTTCATTGGTGAAGCAATGATTTTACCTAAAATGAGTCCCTGTCTTTGCATAGTGATATTTAAAAATCGAGAAGCAAAACCTATGTTGAATATACTGTGTATTGATGAAGTTTATATATAGCCTAGGGGAACTCAAAAATATTGTTATTATATCGGCAAATTCGCTCGAAAATGGTTGTACACCCTAGAAATTGAATGTTGTTGATTTTTTCAATATTTTAAAATTAATTACCGTAGTTACACCATAACGTATCATAACTTCCGGTAGAGGCGAGCTGGTGAGTAATTTCTATTATTTTGACAGTTCAATTTTACATGTCTTTAGTATTGTGCACATGCTCTATGTGGACAAAATTCAGCTTATAGTGTTACACCATTTAGTGTCTTCTACCTTTTAGGAGCCATGTAAGGGTCCCATTCATGAGATAACTCTTTTATTTCTAACTAAACTTCTTGCCTTTTATCATGCTTAACAGAGTGTATATACCCTGCTTTTACCACAGCAGGCCTGTCAACTGTCCCGCAATTTGCGTATTTGTCACGCATTTGCTGAAGAATTTGAAGTCACGCCAGTTTTTTTTGCGTGACAGAAAATGTCACGCAAAATACGCATTTTACCTGGCAATTGTCAAGCAAAAATATTTCTGTAGAAATTTTTTCGAAATATGTTTACGATACGGTAAAAATACGAACGTCGGAAAAAACCGAACGCAATTTGTTCGGATTTGTCACGCGAATCCCGTATGTGTCACGCATGTTCATTGGAAACTTTTCGTACCTACCCCCCCCCCCCCCCCCCCCCCCCCGTTGTCGACATCGCGAGCGTAGCGAGCGCGAAAAATTTGAGGTGTTTAAAGTTTGGCAAAGGTGCTCAAACTTTGGCCAAAGGTGTTTAAAAGTTGGCCAAAGGTGTTCAAAATTTGGACAAAAGTGTTCAGATTTGGACTTAGGTGTCCAACATTTTGAAGTCACTCATATTAGGTGGTCCCAAGTTGACAGCCCTGCCACAGCTACAAAATTACTTTAGAGGCTTAGAAATCAAAATGACCTTGCATGACCTTAGCATACACTTCATAGTAAATATACACTTGTACTTAAAAGTAGATACTTTTGTTAGGGCTCACTAAATCTTTTGTAAAGAATTATTGAATAGATTCTCAGTTTGTATTCACTACTTGACACTGCAAGTACATGTAGAAGCATTACAAATGGGAAAATATTTTAAATACATTGACAAATAATGTAAAGCAAAGCAGTTTACATTAATTCTGTACCTACCAACATGGACACAACCAGATATTCTATAACTTAATACTTGTGGCATTGTGGATGTCAGTACTAGAGAATTATTGAATAGATTTTCTTAGTTTATATTCTTCAAGAGACATAGTACATCGGCTTGAGAAATAAGAAACATAACACAACATAAAGCAAAGCAGTCCATATATACACACCTGCAAACATGGACGGAACAAAATATTCAATAACACTGATGCTAGTGGCATTTGTGAATATTAGTACTGGAGCAAAGTTACTCATCTGGCCTTATAATCATGGATTCAACTCCCGTTTGATGAACATGGAAAAAATGTCCAATATGCTGGTAGAGGCCGGACATTCAGTTGATTGGATAATCAGCACCAAGTATGATGAATCATCGCGACCATTGTCGAGCGATGTCACCATTTACAAATATCAGGTCCCTGATGAAGTTCCACTAATAACAGATGCTGGTTTCATTGAAAATTTGGTAAATGCTCCTACCTTACTCCTACCGATTACATTAAGGAAGGTAAACGTTGCCTTTTGCGAAAGCCTCATCACATCAAAACTCTGGGACCGTCTGAAACTGAACGACTATGATGTTTTGATTATAGATTATGTGGATTATTGTGGGGCTATTGGAATAGATTATTTGGAGATTCCGACTATGCTGTATTCTAATTTCGGTATCATGCATGCGCCCGTTGTGAACTTTCCATTTCCATGGTCATTCAATCCTCATTTCATGCTACCATTCACCCAGGAGATGTCTTTTGCGGAGAGGGTCCAAAACGTCATTGCTCATTTTACATTCGACTCAATAGGAGTGACGTATTTCTATCAGGGAATGTACGAGTTGAAAAGGAAATATAATCTTAACACTAGTATGGATTATGACACGGCCTGGACCAGAGCGAAGATCATCATCAACAATGCCCACTACGCGTTTGATTTACCGAGAGCTACACTGCCGAATCATATCATGATAGGGGGACTCTTCAATTCCCCATCGAAGCCACTGGATACGTACTTCCAAAGAATCACATCAGCAGCTCCTAATGGCGTAGTGATTGTTAGTTTTGGGACGCTCTTCAGACGACTCGCAAATGAGGACACAAATGAGATGCTAGCTCTGGCGTTCTCCAAACTGAATCAGACAGTTATTTGGAAATATGAAGGTGAACCACTGAAAAATAAAGGCCCTAATACTTTCCTTGTAAAATGGTTGCCACAAAATGACCTCTTAGGGCACCCAAGTGTTAAACTTTTTGTTACACATGGTGGCATAAGTAGCTCACATGAAGCTATATACCATGGAGTCCCGATTGTTGGTATTCCTCTATTCATGGACCAGCCAGCTAACGTTAGAAGACTCACCCAGCGATGTAAAATGGGTGTGGAGATGAACGCAGAAACTCTTACGAGTCAGTCTCTGCTGAATGCAATGAAACACGTCATGGATGAACCCTCGTTTAAGACCAATGCGAAAAAAATGTCATTGAGTTTTCGTGACAATCCTGTTTCCCCGAGAGACACTTTGTTATATTGGGTAGAACAAGTTGCCATAAAAGGACGTAGTGGGGATCTTGAATTTTTACGTCCCCATGCTGCGTATGAGCTGTCATGGATGCAGTATCACTCATTAGATGTATTCTTGTTCATCTTTACAGTAATTGTGATCCTTCTTGGACTGATATTCATTGGGTGCAGGTGCTGTATTGTGAAAATATGTTGTGCAAATAAGAAAAAAGAAAAGACATATTAAGATAGACATGAACTGCTTATGAATTGTATACACAGTGACCTCTAAATATCTTTTTTAATTAATAGGAGGTTAACTTACTATTGTAAAGACCCTGGATAGCAAGTTGATACTACAACCCAGCAGTAGTGGCTTATGGCTCAGTTGGTAGAGCATCAGTCCAAGGGTCCTAGGTTCGATTCCCACATGGGGCGTTGGATTCAGCACACTTTCTTTCAATTTCTTTATTTAGCTTGTTACACTATGCTAGTTAGTTAGACATTCCCCAGGGGCACCGGGGTCATTCCACTGCTTTGGTGAAAATATAACGGTACATGTTAAATAGAAACTTTCATATTAAATTGAGGGCACTTCTATTACTGGCCAATAGCTAGCTTTTACCAAGGAGCATTCAATTTTTGGAAAATTCCAAGGGGGTTCAAATTTGACAATTTTGGCCTAACATCGTTCACAAAGTGCTCATATTGGTGAAAAACACATGGTTTTGACCCCCCCCCCGCGCCTTGGATATTATGTATCTAACAGGAGGTTTTGTAAATTGGAGACATAGAGATAAATATACTTGGACTATAATGTATAGTCATAGTATATGATTATATTATGTATAGTCATAGTATATCATAGATCACATCGATCATAACATATTCAGTTAAACTAGTATACACATGGCTAATAAGGATCAAAGCAGAGCCATTTACACATGTTTTGTAGTAAGTTTGTACAATAAATGAATAACTTTATAAAAATGGATTACTCCAAAGTATTCCTGTTTTTACTGAGTTTGATAGAATTGAGTTATAGTGCTAGGATACTAATTTGGCCAAATTGTCAGTGCTTCAACTCTAGACTTATGAACATTGAGAAGATGCCGAACATCCTTATAGAGGCTAACCATACAGTTGACTGGATCATCACTGAACATTATGATAAAATCAAGAAGCCATTATCTAGTGATGTCACAGTATACAAGTATCTTGTGATGTCACAGTATACAAGTATCTTGTGATGTCACAGTATACAAGTATCTTGTAGTGATGTCACAGTATACAAGTATCTAGTATTGTCACAGTATACAAGTATCTTGTGATGTCACAGTATACAAGTATCTTGTGATGTCACAGTATACAAGTATCTTGTGATGTCACAGTATACAAGTATCTTGTAGTGATGTCACAGTATACAAGTATCTAGTATTGTCACAGTATACAATTATCTTGTGATGTCACAGTATACAAGTATCTTGTGATGTCACAGTATACAAGTATCTAGTGATGTCACAGTATACAAGTATCTTGTGATGTCACAGTATACAAGTATCTAGTGATGTCACAGTATACAAGTATCTTGTGATGTCACAGTATACAAGTATCTTGTGATGTCATAGTATACAAGTATCTTGTTGTGATGTCACAGTATACAAGTATCTAGTGTTGTCACAGTATACTTGTACCTTGTGATGTCACAGTATACAAGTGCAGTATCTTAGTGATGTCACAGTATACAAGTATCTTGTGATGTCACAGTATACAAGTGCAGTATCTTAGTGATGTCACAGTATACAAGTATCTTGTGATGTCACAGGATACAAGTATCTAGTGATGTCACAGTATACAAGTATCTTGTGATGTCACAGTATACAAGTATCTAGTGATGTCACAGTATACAAGTATCTTGTGATGTCACAGTATACAAGTATCTTGTGATGTCATAGTATACAAGTATCTTGTTGTGATGTCACAGTATACAAGTATCTAGTGTTGTCACAGTATACAAGTATCTTGTGATGTCACAGTATACAAGTGCAGTATCTTAGTGATGTCACAGTATACAAGTATCTTGTGATGTCACAGTAAACAAGTATCTAGTGATGTCACAGTATACAAGTATCTTGTGATGTCACAGTATACAAGTATCTAGTGATGTCACAGTATACAAGTATCTTGTGATGTCACAGTATACAAGTATCTTGTGATGTCATAGTATACAAGTATCTTGTTGTGATGTCACAGTATACAAGTATCTAGTGTTGTCACAGTATACTTGTACCTTGTGATGTCACAGTATACAAGTGCAGTATCTTAGTGATGTCACAGTATACAAGTGCAGTATCTTAGTGATGTCACACCTTAGGATGTTCCACTTTTAACTGATGGGGGTTACATAGGGCAATTCATAGTCACACTAGCGAAACTTCTGCCAATATTACGGGAGTTCTGTGAGAGTTTATCAAATCAGGGATGTGAAGAGTGCTGTAACCTGCTACATGTATAGGCCTACCATGTGTCTTTTTGTTAATGAAGACCTTTATTGTAGCAATGATTATATTGTGGTTATAAGTGGTAATTTTGCAGAGTCATTTAATTTGCCTATTTTTGCCAGGTTCGGAATATTAAATGTTGGAAATATTATCTTCATAATGTTATCCAATGGGGTGTTTCTTGTCATTAGGAAAATGAAAATTAAGAGAATGAGAAAATTTGACCATTTGGAAAATTAACCACACAGATTAAATACCACCTTTTAAAGTGATCTGAAAGGTGGAACCCTGTTCCAGGCTGTGCTTTCTCCTGGTCTCTTAAGTTTATTCAATTGGTCCGTAACATTTTAAGCAAAACTGCATGGGCTAAACTGAAGGTACACTTGAAGTCACTCATGGCTTTCTAGAAAGGAACTTTCTCATGATGATGTAACAATACAGTAATAAACATAATTTTGTATTTTTATTTTTTCAGAGGTTATGTAGAATATGATGATGTAACACACGTCTTAAAGAATCATACCTACTGGGCAAGCTACAATGTACCGTAAGTAATTATACTAACGCATTAAATAAAAGATTTGTTTCTGATTGGTCAAGGGGCAGTCAATGATTTTTTCTGTTGACTGTAGACACAATGCATGGTCATTTATAATGACATCACATCATGACTCAAGTAATTGGACAAGGAAAAAGTGTTCACATTCAAAGGTGTTCAGATTAGAGAGGTGTTCAGATATACATACTTTACTGTACAGCTCTTAAATTGGTGAGTTTGATGATGTGAATGCTTACATTTCAGATTTTTTCCAAAGATATATAAAATGAGTGGCTTGGAGCCCATGGTGAAGAAGTATGGGGACTGGTTTACCCATGATAAAACTGCAAGAGCAAACATCTTCAGAAGGGACCACCATAATGTCAAAGATGTAGACTCCATGACAAAATTAATGAGGTAAAAAGAGTAAAGGATACGAGTTTTCTCCATTTATGGATTTATGTTTCAAACGAGTGCAAAACTCTATTTTCAGGATACAGACTGAAATTGGTCAACGTATATGCCTGCTTTTCATGATTATACTCATTTTGAATTGAACGCAAATGGATTTTTAGGTTAATCATTTTGGTCCACATTTTCATTTTGCCTCAATTTTGCCTTTCATTTTTTCCAAAATTGTTATTCTGTTTGTCTCATCTTTTATCACCAATGTATTATGTATTATCGCTGATTTTTGAGATACGTGTTTGCAAAAATGGAACTTAGAACCCTACATTGGTGTTCTACCTGAAAGGGACTGTATTCAACATTCTATGTCATTAAGACATCATTTTTTTAGGTATAACAACTTTAAGGATGATCCTCTATCCAAATGTAACTGCACTCCTCCCTATAGTGCTGAGAATGCCATATCTGCACGTAGTGATCTTAATCCAGCTAAAGGAAAATACCCATTTGGTGCACTTGGACATAGAGACCATGGAGCTACTGACATGAAGGTAAAATAATAATAAAATATGTTTCTTTCAGGGAATTTATCCCTACACAGGCAATATAATTCGGCGTCGTTTCGGCATCGAACAAAATCGGTGCCGTTTCGGCGTCGAAAATCACATTTCATTTTAGGGGTGTACAGTAATTGTATACAGGAATTTACCATGGATTTTTCTCCCCAAGTGAATAAAGAATTCTCAGCTTCTCAATTCTATGCAAAAATGATGGCAATTTGTTATTTTTTAATTTATTCATTTTCAGGTGGGTGCAAAACATTTTTAAGTGGTTGCAAATCTAGTTCTGATGCAGGATCTTAGTGTTTTCCTCTTCTCAATAGAAAATTAGATTACCGTATCTATGAGCCCATGGAACCCCCTTCCCCTATTGTCTATTTGCTTCAACCGTATTCAGACCACGTTTTAAAGGATTGGGGCTGACTCCATCAAATGTTTTCATAATAACGAAACCTGGCTAGGAAATCAGTTTTGCAAGAAAATGATATCTTGATGTTTGACTTTACCCAATGGGAAACCTCTATTGACATCACACCTGTCTGTATTCTGTATATTGTGTATTCTATTGAAATAAATAAAAAAAACAAAAAAAAATCTGTATGTATTCCAACACTATTTATTATGTTTTTCAGATGACAACATCAACATTATCCATGACGTTAGACTTTTACGCAATAGCTGGGCCTACCCATGATCCTCTACCTCCTTTTGATTGGTCAAAAGCAGATTTCGGTGCCACAACGCCACATTTTGGTCAACCAACAGTTTTTAAGTTTGATAGGATTGTCACATCATGGACAAAACAATATTTTTTGTGAAGGGATGTATCCTAGATTAGGGCCAGATTTAGCATAAGTTTGGCCCTGGAATATGTATATTGTAAAAAGAGAAATAGTATGCATTCTAGGGCCACATTTGTCATATATTTGGCCCTGGAGTATGGGATGGTGTTCAGATGTCAACCACTGTGGGAAAAGGCATTTACTTTTGATAAGGGAGATGGGGTTTAAATATGTGAGTTGGAAATGTTGATTTTCAGATGTTTGGGTCAGTGACAAATCGTATATGAAGAAACTAAATATGAAATTTCAGCACTATAAAACTGTCGACACTTGGACACCATTCCATAATGCTATGACATCGAGCACTCTAACTTAAACCTCCAAAGTTGAACACCATTCATTGTATTTTTAGGTGCCAAAGGTGTTCAACTTACACAGGTTACTAGTATACAATACAGTAAAACCAGTCTCATCTAAATGCCTCAGGGACTTGCCAAAAGTGTTTAGATTGGTAGGTGTTCAGAACAGCACAATCCAGTACAGTGCAGTACAGTGCAGTATAGTTAAGTACAGCACATTGCAGTACAGTACAATACAACACACTACAGTACAGTACAGTACAACACAGCACAGTACCGTACATTACAGTACGATACAATATAAAACAGTTTTGCTAATTTGTAAATCATCCTAGAATTTTGTTTGTAAATATTGCAACCCCCAACTGTACTAATGGTGTCATCAATCGGGTACATGTAAATAGGCCTATATCAGAGCTTCCTTTGCAAATCTATAGATGGAAGGATTCATTGGAAAGGTCTATTGCAAAGCAATCACATACATTCCCTAGTCCATCACTGTGTACTATACACTATTTCATTTTTGTAAAAAATGGACTCCACTTTTACAACTATGCAATCATGTAGATGTCATTGTAAATGTAATCTCATATATGATGCAATATCAGAAATACATTATTTTTCAATATTTTATATGTTTATTTGTCTGATAAGTAGACATTAAGATTGCAATTGTACACAACACGTTTGAAGAAAAATGGTGTAGTATGTGACACTTAATCCCTGATTTTCAAACATCTGATACGTCTAAATCCAAATTAACGATTTTCCTGTTTTTTAAGTGACTGATGATTGTCACCGTGAGCCAATATAACAGCTGTCACCATTGTTCAACTTTTCATTTTAATACGCAAATGTTCTTGACACTTCAAAGGTCTACGGCAACGGCAGTTAGTCTCATATAAAATGGAGGAAATATTTTTTATATCGATAAAGTATAATCTGAATTTCTTAAAGTTGTGTTTTCCAATAATGTTTTATTGTCTGCAATGTCAACAAACTGTGTGCAATTCATAATCAGTTTTTTTTTTCATTTCTCATTTATTCCAAATATAACATAAAATACATTACAATATTATTGCCTACGTTTTTCAACATTGTCGGCAATATACAAAACATATAAAAATGGAAACAATGAAAATACAATAGATAAGGTACATAATATTAATGGCAGGGAATGTTAGAGGCTTTCAGGGGGGGGGGGTTAATCTAAAATATCAAGAGCCTGGCAGATGTAATGGCTAACTATATGAATAATTTGTTCATTATCAGTTACAGTGAGATTTCTGTCTCCAAATAATAAAAATTGAATTTTTTCATGAGAGTTTAAATTTTGGAAACGATTGAAAAATCCTAAGGTTTTTAGTCCTGCTAGGAGAGTGCATCTTTCTTGTTGCAGCAGAGGGCAGTTTAATAAAAAGTGATGCGTTGTTTGTTGTATGTCACCACATACGCAGAAAGGGTCATTTACTGTCACAAAGTTATGGGAATATAAATGTGCTTTTAGAATCAGTCCAGCTCTAAATCTATTGAACAGAATTTCAATTTTCCTTGGCATTGTCATATTCATTTTAGTAGTGGATACTCTGGAGTCAGGGCTCATATTTCCTCTTACTAACCTTTTAAATCTAGATATTGGTTGGCCTTTCCTGTCCTCATATGGTATGTCATCCCACAGGGTCATAGCCCTGATAATGGTTGACTTTTTGAACGAATTACTGATTGGAAAGGGTATTCTATAATGCCTTGGTTGTCTTAGGGGCCGATTTGGAATATTCTCGTATGAACTAACTAAATCACAAATGAAAGGAGGGAAACAATGGTATCTAGCCTTGAAAGCAAAAATTTTAAGATGTTCTTCTCTCCTGGAAGCTAACGTTTTCCAGTTGAGTAATGATAAAGCTTTCGATGTGTTTGAACCGTGTATTGCTCCTGACACATGGCAAGCTGCTTGATAATGAAGTCTATCCAATGTTAATAGTTTTGAAGTTGATGCCTTATCATATATTGTATCACAGTAGTCGAAATGTGGTAGTATAAATGAATTATATATATTCTCTAGGTATTTACTGTTTAGCATTTTAGTTAACTTTTTCAATGGTCTCATGAGAGAGATTACTCTCTCTATGAGTTGGTCAACATGTGAATTAAAGTTTAGATTTTGATCAAGTACTAAGCCCAGGTGTTTGTGTTTGGTGCAACTAGGAATCACATCTCCTCCTAGTTTTAAAGGGACTGGCTCTTGTAATAGTCTTCTATTTCCTGATACAAAGGTTAAGTCAGCACTTTTTTGTGCCTTAAAAGTCATCTTCCAAGTCATGGCCCAATTTGCCAAAATGTCAAGATCTCTTTGAAGTGGTTGGTGAATGTTTAAAATCTGATCAAAACTGTCATGTGCACTATAAATAGATGTATCATCAGCAAAAATAAATGTTTTGGATAGGAGATCATGTGGTAAGTCATTAATGTAAATAAGAAATAGGAGGGGCCCGAGGACTGATCCTTGAGGTACACCTGCATTGATTTTATAGTTATTTATATTGTGATCATTGTTATTATTATTGTTATTTGTTCCATTATTAAGATTTCCATAATTTTCAGAAGACCAATCAGATAAGCTGTTGTTGACTTTGGCTCGAACCCTTCTGTCTTTTAAATATGATGTCATTAGCTGTACAAAATTGAAATTACAACCATAGCCTTTAAGTTTCTGTATAAGTAATCTATGCGGGACCAAATCAAAAGCGGCTGTTAAATCTAAAAAAGCTGAGCGGACATATTTATTATTATCTATATTTTCATGGATATTGTGAACAACGTTAATTAACTGGTTAACGGTGCTGTGCTTCGGGAGAAAACCACTCTGGAATTTGTATAAAAGGTTGTGTTGAAGCATAATCAGTGATCCAAAGTATTTGATCTACAATATTATTTTTCTTTTTCAAAGTTAATTTCAGGAGAATAGCGACTGTTTAATTTTGAATTCCGTAATCACCACATCCTTGTTTATACCCGGGGATTAGTATGTGTAACGAACGAAACGAACAAAGAAAATGTCGAGATTACATTGTGGGATCCAATCCTCCTTGATATGGATCTATCAAATCACATTCAAAATGGCGGACAACAGTTAGTTGGATTCCTATAGGGAACTTTGAAGAAGTAAAACAATATTGTAGATCAAACAAGGGCTTATTTAATACCCGGGACTTAGTTGTGTACCAAACGAAACGAGAAACGGCACGACATCCGGGGCTTCTTAAATGGATCTATTATATGGATAAGACTTGACCCAATAACAAATCTGAACTTTTGGAAATCTCACCCTCACTTATGTCTGCATCTATGATCTGTTTTGGGGGTTCGGCTCGAAACATCGGCACTCGCTATAAAAAACATCTATTTCAAGGAACGATTTAGGTCAGTATGGAGAGCGTTCCTTGTACACAAGTTTTAACTTATATTAAAATCATGCATAAACATCTACGAAATTATTCGAAAACGACAATTCACGATTGGTTTCACTTATTGTCTGGATATAAATAAATGTCAAACTGTGTGAATTTGCGTACCTTAGTCTAGTAATATCACATTTTGATAACATCGGGAAGTACTGCAATATAAGTCAAAGTAGGTCAAACTTTACGAGGAACCTTTAAGCGAAACTGAGTAGTGAAAATATAAGATAACACGGAGGAATATTTAGCACAAACATGCTATGTTGTTTTATTAAAGAAAGAATTTTGCCCGCCATTTTGGATGAGCCAAACTGACGTTTACTTCATCCTTCTTTAGACCACTGAGAGACCACTGATACACATTACCTCATTGATTTGTCATATTTTAGAGTAAAAATAATTAATTGACAATCAATCGACTTTATACATTTCTGAGATTTCTGAGTCATGTATATTCAATTAACAAAAATACAAATACTGCTTTTTTGTGCGATCTTGGCTGGCATCCCCATGGTGCTTCTTTACATGAAAGATCCAGTTTGGCCCACAAAGGTACGTTTCTGTTTGTCACGTTTTAATTAATATATTGGCGTAATTTACTGTAAAAGGCCAAATTTTCAAAGTGCCCCAATTTCCGCTATATTCGCGTCTGGGTGTTTAGCGCGAATTCAAAAGCACGTGGATTAAAGGGCACGTTGATTCAGTGGCACGTGGATTCAAAATAAAGTTAGAAAAGAAAAAGCCCAGTCTAGAAAAAAATATTTAAGAAAAATTACTAAAAAAAATTTTTTTTTAAATTATTAAAACTTTTTTGTTGAGTAATATTTACAGTCGGATTTATAAACGCAACTCGTTTAACAATTCAACATTTTAAACAAATAAGGTATGTCGAATCTCGCTTTGTATAATTAAAGTTGGTTCAATGTTCTTTAAGTTGACAAATTTTCACCATTGAAACATATGTATGGGCCATTTGCTGGCCATTTAAAGAACCTGCCTCCTCTGAGTTTGACAACTGATTTTTAGCTCACATGGTGAGCTTTTGCAATCGCTCACTTGTCCGTCTGTCTGTCCGTGTGTCCGTGCGTGCGTCCGTCCGTCCGTCAACAATAGTGGCACCTTTTAAAACCTCTGTCGATAGGATTCCTGTTTTAAGTTATTTTTGTTCAACATCAATACAGGAAACTCCCCTCTGACTCCTGGTTCAAAAGCTCGCCTATTTTCAAGATGGCCGCCATTTTTGTCTCGTGAAATTAATTTTTGACCCATTTCCTAGCTTTACAAATAATGTCAGGTGTCCTGCGTCCTGCATTGTTAAAATCCATGTCAATGTGAAGAGTAGCTATATGAGATAATTTTGTTACAAAAAATCAGCAAAAATTTATATCCGTTTTTTTATTTTCAGCCATTTTAGTTAACATTGATTTGTCCATCTGACTCAAAGAAAACACTTTTCCGTCAACAATAGTGGCACGTTTTAAAACCTCTGTCGATACCATTCCCATTTTAAGTTATTTCTGTTCAACATCAATACAGAAAACTCCCCTATGACTCCTGGTTCAAAAGCTCGCCTATTTTCAAAATGGCCGCTGTTTTTGTCTCGCGAAATTCACTTTTGACCCATTTCCTAGCTTTCCAATTAATTTCAGGTGTCCTGCATTGTAAAAATACATGTAGTTGTATGAAATAATTTTGTTACAAAAAATCGGCAAAGAATTATATCCGTTTTTTTATTTTTAGCCATTTTAGTTAACATTGATTTGTCCATCTGTCTCGCGAAATCCACTTTTGGACCATTTGTGTTAAAACCTCTGTCGATAGGATTCCCGTTTTAAGTTATTTTTGTTCAACATCAATACAAAAAACTCCCCTATGACTCCTGGTTCAAAAGTTCACCTATTTTCAAAATGGCCGCCATTTTTGTTTCGCGAAATTCACTTTTGGCCCATTTCCCAGCTTTACAAATTATTTCAGGTGTACTGCATTGTAAAAAGCCATGTCACTGTAAAGAGTAATTGTATGAAATAATTTTGTTACAAAAAATCGGCAAAAAATCATATCCGTTTTTTTTTTAATTTGAGCCATTTTAGTTAACATTGATTTGTCCATCTGACTCAAAAAACACTTTTCCGTCAACAATAGTGGCATGTTTTAAAACCTCTGTCGATAGGATTCCCGTTTTAAGTTATTTCTGTTCAACATCCATACAGAAAACCCCCCTATGACTCCTGATTCAAAAGCTCGCCTATTTTCAAAATGGCCGCCATTTTTGTCTCGCAAAATTCACTTTTGACCCATTTCCTAGATTTACAAATAATTTCAGGTGTCCTGCATTGTAAAAATCCATGTTAATGTAAAGAGTAGTTGTATAAAATAATTTTGTTACAAAAAATTGGCAAAGTATTATATCCCTTTTTTTTTATTTTCAGCCATTTTAGTTAACATTGATTTGTCCATCTGTCTCGCGAAATCCACTTTTGGACCATTTGTGTTAAAACCTCTGTCGATAAGATTCCCGTTTTAAGTTATTTTTGTTCAACATCAATACAAAAAACTCCCCTATGACTCCTGGTTCAAAAGCTCGCCTATTTTCAATATGGCCGCCATTTTTGTTTCGCGAAATTCACTTGGTCCATTTCCTAGCTTTACAAATTATTTCAGGTGTCCTACATTGTAAAGAGCCATGTTACAGTGTAAAGAGTAGTTGTATGTAATAATTTTGTTACAAAAAATCGGCAAAAAATCATATCCTTTTTTATTTTCAGCCATTTTAGTTAACATTTATTTGTCCTTCTGTCTCTCAGTCCGTCAAAGATAGTGGCAAGTTTAAAAACCAATGTCTTTCATTACTTGGCTCTTTTTAAATCCTCGGTAGATAGGATTCCTGTTTTGGAATATTTTTGTTCAGCATCAATAAAGAAAAACCCACATGACTCCTGCTTCAAAAGCTCGCCTATTTTCAAAATGGCCACCATTTTTTGTCTTGTGAAATTCACTTTTGGCCCATTTCCTAGCTTTACGAAAAAATACCAGGTGTCCTGCAGTTTAAAGAGCCATGTGTTTGTAAAGAGTAGTTGTATGAAATAATTTTGTTACAAAAAATTGGCAAAAGATTATATCCGTTATTTTTACTTTCTCTCATTTTAGCCATCATTCACTTTTGAGCAACACCATGTGAGCCCAGTACCCACGGTACTAATTTTTTTTCATTTTGTTTGTAGGCCTCCATTCAGTTGCATGAAGTTTTAAGAAGTTCGGAAGGAAATACTACAGAGCTAACATGGCAAGAATACGAGGTTTTATACAAAACGTATGTCAGATCAATGTTATACAAATATTTCACACTATTGAGGTGAATACCTCTTCATTTTTCGGTGTACTCCCTGTGAATACCCAGTCCCGTAGCCAGGATTTGCCAAGGGGGGTTCACTTTTTTAAAAAGTTCCAGGGGTTCATTTTTGACAACTTAGGCCAAATATAACCTAACTCATTTGAAAATTGCTAATAATGGTGAAAAACTGCATGATTTTGAAAGAATTTTTGGCCAGGGGCTCGAACCCCCATGGCTACGGGCCTGATACCCGTTGCACTTCCGATGATTCTGCAAGGGATATTTTCCCCCGGGTATTTCCCTGGTCCTTCGGAGTTCGGAGAATACACTTCGCTAGAATCATTGAAAGTACAACAAGTATGAAATATTTGTATATATTTCGTTTAGTTTAGTTTATTATTTATTAAAGTGTCACAGGCCTATTATTTTACATAATTATACATACAATTATTCAAAAGCCCCAAGCCAACAATGGCTTATGAGACACTGTCCATCTCAGAAGTAATGCTAATAAAATTATTTATAACAATTCGTTGTAGATTTGTTCCTAAAACGACATACAATTGTAAAGAGATCGAAGAAGTTGGTAGCACGATACAAAGAAGACAGCAAAAAGAAGGTATCCATTCTACGTGTATGGACAACGTATATAAACCGAAGGTGCCGTGCATCGTCTACGCATTTGGGTACGTGTTCAAGTAAAATTTTTAAATCTGGTTATATTAGTAGCGTTCATTAACCCTACTATCACACCAAACTAGTTCTCACTACGTTCTCGAAAACGGGCTTCAACTGTGTACGAACGGACTGGACGTACTTAGAACCGTTTGGGGTCTATTTACAAACTTCATCGAACGGGTAGGTCCTCTAGAACTTAGAACATGCTCAAAATGTTCTCGTGGTCGTCACGTTCTACAATTAGAACGAGTGACAACGTACTAACGACGAGCTGGACGTACTATGAACGGAACCGTCGTACTTCAATCCTACTAGGGACGTTTTAACAACGAGTTGAACTGTCTGAGGACGTATTGAGAACGAGGGAGAACTAATGGCAAACGGGTTTAAACTGACTGAGAACGTATTAAAGACTGATTATGAACGAGTTAGCAAAAATTTAGCTATCACACCAAAGAAGTTGTCACTGCGTTCCTCAAAACTGGTTTCAAACTGTGCACGAACGGAATGAACGTAGCTGCAACTTTCTAAGGTCTATTTACGAACTTCATGAACGTTCTCAGACGGGAAGGTGATTTTAGAATTTTGAATCGATTCAAAATTCGATGGCGGCCATACCGTTTTGTAATCAGGTCATGATGACCTTCTAGACTAAGGGACGCGTTACACGACGTTGCACACCGACGTGGTGCAACCTGAACGAACTGCGAATGAGATGGACGTATTGAAGACTGTTAATGAACGAAGTAGCTAATTATTTTAGACATATTTCCCGACCACAGCCAGATTGAGATTCGTAGGACTGGCAAGAACGGGTAAGAACTAGTTTGGTGTGATAGGGGGGTTATATGTATACCCAAATCAAACGATAACAGGCAAGGACGATTATTTCATTTTATATTAAACTTCTTTTTCAAGTGTGGGGTATATATGGCACTTTGAGGATGACTTTGCTAAACGCGGATGCCAGGTGTTCGCATTTGACCCCAGGTTGGTGGATATATGCCTTTTACATTGTCTTGAACATTGCTTTATTGATTAACATTCCAAAATGGATCGTGTGAAATATTATATCTAGCATGCCTTCTGAATTCATTTATCCGTTTTTGTAACAATTAAGTTGTGCTGTGTAAGTAGCTGCTACCGAAAGCTCGAAAAAGTAAGTTATTTTGGTTAGTGATTTGAGGAAAGTAATACAAATTAATTATCTTTACCTAACCGATGAATACATTTGGACGAATTAAGTTGTGACATATTTTTATAGTCTCCTGCTTTTTGTGGCCGATGTTTGGCGGATGGTGTTCGGCGGTTGGTGTTTGGCGTTTGGGGTTCGGCGCGTCTGTAACAAATGGCAGTTTGTGACATTTGGCTTGTTAATGACTTGTTTAATTTTTAGTATGAAAACTGAGAGCCACAAGCGTAGAGAAAACCTTTGGTTCTATAACATTGGGCTCGATGGTGTTGACTCTGACAACTTTACTCCACGTGTTGATTACTACGTACGAAAGTCTAAGATTTTTACCTGGAAAGTGCGAACGTTAAAGTCAATCATGAAAATGCTAGGACACACGAATAAAACGGTATGTATTTTGCAAGTTTTCAGTGTGAAGGTTTCTTCGTGAGGTTTGTCAGAACGAATGCTCATTCTTCACAAAGCTGTGCTCAATAAGCACAACATTAAAGCCTTGCTGGATGAAGAAAATAAATTTCCTTTCCATATAGTCACATCTGTTATGATCTTCAAGACCGGCGTTCGGCCGATGACATTACAGTTTTGTTTAAAACAGAACGCAATTTTGAATAAAATACTCATAGGCCGTGGACCAGTACTGGAAATCGGAGCAACTGAAACCACGGCACAATCAAACTAGTTATGTTTTTCAGATCGATGTCCTCAAGATGGACATAGAGGGTTACGAATTTGACGCCCTCTCGACAATGATGGACGATGGTACAATAGAGCATGTGCGCCAGTTGATAGGTGAATGGCACGTAAAAGGAAATCAAAGATTTGACTATTCTAAAAAGTATTTGGTTGCAAAGCGACTTTTCAGTCACGGATTTAAAACATTCAATTACCACGTGTACGGCCGGAATGGGCGATGTAAAAGACAGTATTGCTTGCAAATCGATTTGGGTTTTGTCAACACCAAATTTCGAAAATAAAAACACTGATTTATGATATGTTTTACTTTGTGAAACCTATATCACTCTAATTTCTTCACTTTTAGAGTCAAGTTACCATATTTTGCATGCACATTCCTTGGAGAAATCCTAACATAGAATTTCATTGGTTTCGATTATAATTAATTTGTAAATATAGGGAAACATTTGATTTTGATTGGTCTATAATCAAAATTTTCCATTTTGTGCGACAAATGCAACATTTTGACGTAATCCCTAACGCCTGATCCTTAAAGTGGTTAAAATTGGTGAAATGTGCATTAAATATTAATTTAAATGCTTTTTTATTCAATATTATACAAATATATGACTGTCATATATCAAAATGAAGAGAATTACCCATATTTCTCATTTTTACCTAATTTGCATAAATTATGCAAAAATAATGATGTCATAGTGACGTCACAAGGCTGAAATCGAGCATTTTATTTCATTAAATCACGGACTTTTTTCTACTATTGGTCCGTGATTAAATTAAGTCATATCTCTACAGTCAATACAGTTTTTCTCAAATACTGTTCAATTATTGCAATTTTGAAAAACATGGATTTGTTCTTCTTGATTTAAGCTTTAAAATGGTATATTACATGATGGGTATAAGGAAGATTTGGTGTAACTAGATTATGCTAAAGTTTGCGATGCCGAGCCAAAAATTCCAGGAATCGTGGAAAATCTAGGAAAATTATGTAGAAATGTTTAATGTAATCTATAACAAATAAACGTTTAACTTGAATAATTTTTATCATATATTATAGGCCATACTAAGGGGAATTGCTCATATACTTTTTTGCCTAATTTGCATATATTATGAAAATATAGCGATGTCATAAGATGACGCAAGAACGGTTTGTTCCGTCAACTAAATTCCATATTCAGGAATAAATAATTTTTATTACCCGAGATTCAGTTGATAAATGTTTAATAACCCAGTTCTGTTTCATAACAGCTTTAAAATGATAAACTACATGAAGCATAGAAAAATAATATACTGTCACGACTCACTAGAATAAACCAAAGACGATGAGCGATAAGGTACTGATATTTGACAAATAGATAAAAATCATGACTCTACAATGTTTTGAAGAAATAATAGATGTAAAGATGTGTTAAAAGCAAATTTCTGCTTGTGAATGTCTGTTTGTTCATATACTCATTATGTTTGATTGCTAATAAACCAGATAGATCATGAACATGCAATTAATCCTCAAACTGCTTTGCCTTCCATGGGTTTCCCCAACAAAGGCTTCTGATACCCCCCCCCTGAATCCCTATGCTCCCCCTGAATTCCTATGCCCCCCTCCCTATACTACTCAACATTTTTCAAAATATATTTGTGTTGATTGTCCTACACACCTTGCAACAAGATTTTAATGTGCCATGACATCTTACAGTAGCTATTAGAGTGAGGAAAGACGAAAAATAGTGAAAAAATAAAGCTTTTCACCTATTATCGCCCACTACAAAATCGGCCATAAAAATTAACAGAGTGAATTCATCTGCCATCCCTTAGCAAAACCGCATGCATGCAAAGTCCATGCAAAGTCCATGCGATTTTTCCATGCAATACCCATGCAAAACACATGCAGCAGAATTTTAACTCATTTAAAAAAACCATGCAACATCCATTCAAATCCATGCAAAGTCCATGCAACATCCATTCAAATCCATGCAAAGTCCATGCGACATCCATTCAAATCCATGCAAAGCACGTTAATCCACATGCAAAGTCCATGCAGCCTGCGAGAAATATTGTTAATAAGTTCCATGCAATGTCCATGCAAAATTGCATGCATCTGCATGGATTTATATGAAAACCATGCAATCCACATGCAATATTGCATGGACTCGCATGATCCATGCAACATCCATTCAAATCCATGCAAAGTCCATGCAAAATCCATTCAAATCCATGCAAAGTCCATGCGGCACCCATTCAAATCCATGCAAAGCACGTTAATCCACATGCAAAATTGAATGCATCTGCATGGGTTTTAACGAAAACCATGCAATCCACATGCAATTTTGCATGGACTTGTATGGTTTATGCTACATCCATGCATCTGCTGTTCTGCCCGTAATATACAATTCGTATACTAGTATCAACCTTACTGACAATGTCAATCAATCAAGGAGCACCTGTTTTAGATTGTGAGAGTTAATAATAGTACTGCTTCCTCTGCTGCACATTAGGTAAAGGATGCCATGTGATCAGAAGTCTTCTAAATGCAACATTTATAATAAGGCATTTAAGCTGACAAATGTCACCACCAATTTCATATGCAAATGAGCTAATTTACACTTTAATTTACACTCAGTTTACACCTTAGTATACACCCACTTTACACTTAAGTTTACATCTACTTTACATCCAGTTCGCACTTAGTTTTCACTTACGTTTACACTCAGTTTACACTTACTTTACACCCAGTAAATAGGTGAGCAATTTCACATGCAAATGAGCTAATTTACACCTAAGTTTACACTCAGTTTACACTTTAGGATACATCCAATTTACATCAAGAGCACATTCTGATTGGTCAGATTTTAAACTTAATTTACAGTTAGTTCACATAGTTCACCTAATGCTTAATTGGCGAAATGCTAACTGCTTATCGCAGGGGGAGAGAATGCAAAGATATTCTGAATTTTGAAGCACTGTGATCAGAGAATAATATTAATGAAGATACAGGGGGTCCAAAGCATAACGAATTGCAAAAAATTACAAAAACAAAAATCCCATGTTAAATCCTGTAAATCGCCATGGGGATTTTCCTGGAATTTTCTGTCTAAGCGCTTTAAAAAGTATTTGTAGGAGTTATGCTATATAGTACAAATATCACAGAATGATCAGCATTAAGATCTATACAAGTAGTTCTGCTCAGATTTTTAAATTGAAGTTTTAAACAAAAAATGCTAAAATAATTCTGTCTTGTAAAAAGTTCAAATCCGCCATCTTGAATTATGATGTCACAATGACACTCTTTTGCATCAATTTTTTCAAGAAAAAACCCCATAAAATATGGGTCTATATAATTTATTGGGCCTTGCTTCCTTCTCTTGCTTCTAGATTCTTTTACAAATAACTTTTTTATTTTCTCCAGTCTCCAAGGAGTTAATGAATGTATATGTCCTATGTAAAACCTATACAAATAAACTGACCCATATTGAATTACAGCCCAGGATATAATGCCATCATGATTCAGATTAGAATGAATTCTAGGTGAAAAGATCAAAACAAACAGGCAAAGCACAAAAGGTAGAAAGATTCAATGGATATATTGAAAAGAAATTTGAAGCTTAAGAAAATGGATAACTAAATGAACAATGATGATGAAACTGGAACAAATGCACAACTAATACCTAATGGTAAAGTTGACATCAAAATCAAATAAAGTAAAACTGCATCAGGGCCGATGTTATAGGATTTTGTGAAGACTTACCAAAACCAAAATGGCTAAGCCAGCTTTGATTGAAAGAGAGGCTGCATGAGCCTCGTTTTGGAATTAGGATTCAGTCTGATATTGCATGGTTCTTGCATGGATTTCAGTAGGCCTAGTCCATGCGCATACATGCAAAATGGCATGGTACTTGCATGGATTTTGGTTTTCTATAATAAAACAGTTGCATGGTAGTTGCATGCTGCATGTGAATTGCATTGTGATTGCATGGAAATATATTTTGGGGAATTTTTACAGTTTCATTCGCATGGACTTTGCATGGGCATTGCATGGATAAGTGCATGGGTTTTCTGTTCAGCCTTCTCTTTCCAAGCGAATTGCATGGACTCGCATGGATTTTTTCTGATTGCATGGACTTTGCATGTGCTTTGCATGGAAAAAACCCATGCGCTTTTGCTAAGGGATTCAAGGTTTTGTAGGTGCATAAAGGTAGTAAAATTAACAATATAGTAACCCTTTACACCCTATATATGTGTTTCAATTGGAAATACTGATGAACTGATCTAACAAAGCATGGATATTGAGAAAATATTTTTAGATAATCTAATTGAAAATTGAATTTTTCTCAGAAATCGGGCCTTGATTGACTTGAATGAAAACGAACATATTCTAACCTTTTTCATCAATCTAGCTCATCTTCTCTACGTTCGCTGATACCCCTAGTATTATAATACTTGAAACTAGTTTCAAAAAGTGCATCTGTTGCCCCTAGATGGCTTGATATTTCAATAATTATATTTTAAATTTCGCGGTTCAGCCTCTTGGTCGAACCGGAAATCAATAATTTCAAAAATATTTAAATTTTTTCTTTTGCATTATTTTTTGGTCAATAACAACAAAATTGGTCAAAATAAGTGAACAAAGCAGTATTCTATGAATGTATTTATATTTATTTCACAACTTTATATAACAATTATAGGGAAATAGCGTGGAAAGATGCAATTATATTTTGGTAAGATTTTTCTTTATCGGATGACGTCATAAACCGGTCAAATCGATCAGGCATCAGGGAGATGTTGCACATGTTTCACAAAATGGCAGATTTTGGTTATAGACCAATCAAAAGCTTCCCTATTTTTAACTAAGAAACTATAATTAAAACCAATAAAATTCTATGTAAGAATATCTCCTGGGCCGAATATGTATGCAAAATGTGGTGACTTAACTCTTAAAAGTGAAGAAATTAGAGTAAATATACAGACTTGGGACTTGTGTTGTCTCGGCTACTATCTATTTTTAGGCATGTATACTTTAAGTCATTTTGCTTAAACCAGGGTATTCAGTTATTGGAAAGTTCAAGCATGGCATATAGTGGAGACTTTAAGCTGGGGATGTTTTTCACAACGTAAACGCGAACGTAAAGTCAATGAATCAATACAGTAATGTGTGAAAGCGCGCATACCAAACAAGCGCTAACTTGTCAACTTCGAATACACAGCCAATATAA